CGGGGCTTCCCAGGGTCTCATGGATGTATCACGTCGGGGTCACCAGTTGTTGCTCACCAGCCTGGGCTGCGGCACCAAGGACGCTGTTGCATCTTCTGCAGCCAGGAGGAAATGGCCTGCCTCTTGTAGGCAGGATCGGTACCTTGAGTTGATTAGTAATTAGTTCATTATCTCAACTCAGTCCAGCTGGGTAATAATGATTGGTTGCCATAGTAAAGCCCACTGAGCTCCTATCATGATTGGAGCCTGAGTTTTAAGATGTTACTAGCAATAAATGATGACACTTTAATTTTCATGTTTTTACAGAAAAGGTGTCCTCATGTAACTTCATGTGTTATAATTGATGTACTTGTGAAAGCTATAGAGCCTGTAGGTTAAGCTGGTCTCACTAGACTGTATAGGGTGAAAAAAAATTACAGTAATGTTAGTTTGTCATGTCTTGGAAAAAAATGAAGGACTTGAACTGCTTTTTTTCTCTATCATGTAGATTACAACAGTTATTTTCTGTAGTAGCAATTATCGGACAGAGTGACCTTTACCAGTTTATGACATTGATGTAGCGGAAGGGACATTTTTCCACTTGACCTTTATGCAATGTGTTGGCTTGGCCTGTAGCACCAAATGAGTTGCAATTGACAGATTTGATGGAACACTAACTTGACAGGAGCTTATTGTTTGGAAGAAGATATGTGTTGAAACATGGAGGCTCTAGTAAATAACATGATAAAAGTTATTTGCATATCTTCCATCACTAAGAAACAACTTGCTTAGAAGCAACCGCTGCCTAAATTGCAATTCAAACAGCGATTAACTGAGATTTTAGCAAAACAGTCATTGAATAGTGACGTTTCGGAGTAAAATCTGTTTTAACTATTTTCTCTTTGTTCTGTAACCAAGTAACAATGGTTTTCTGTATTTTAACCTTGCTTCTTGTTTTAATGCTTCTATCTGTAAAAGGAAGAGGAATAAAAGTCAGATAAACAGTTTTCAGTATATGAGAAGGAAGGCGTGTCTCCCAAGAGGATGGGAGGCGGGGAGTGTGTGTATACATATATACACACGCTGCACCCAAAGATGGGGAGAGAGAGATATGTATGAGTTACTTCTTTGGTTATTTATTAATATATTAAAGAAATAATGGTCAGATACAATTCTGGGAAGAGAGAAGTTCTGGTTATGGGGAGTGTGAGCCGTGAGCGCACGCTAGGGTGAGGGTGAACGGTGTAAAAAGGACCTTAAGGGAGGGCCAAACCATTCCTGCCCCACTGCTCCAGCCGGGAAGCGCAGAGGTCAGCTTCTCTTCAGATCTGTTGAAATAAAGCAGGGAGAGGATTGAGCTTTTTGAGAAGAAATTTAAAAGCAAAGAACAGACGTCAGGTATTTCAGGTGTCTTGTTATAATCCAATATCTCTTTCTGCCCTGGTGGAAGGTTCTGATACTTCCTGTTAATAAAGTAATTCCACTTACAAAATGGATAGGACAAAGTTGTAGTGGAACCCAGATCTATCTGACGCTATTCAAGTAATGAATTATCATGGCTTTTTAAAACTATAGAGCAGCAGGATTGATAAAAGAGCAGCAAATACCATCTGTCTGATCTACGTGTTTCACCACAGTTGTTCTCAAGCTGTCCAGTTGAGGTAAAGTAAAAAGGAGCTGAATGGGTGTGGGAAGGGAAGGCAGCTCAGCTATCTTCTGTTGCATTTGCAGAAGGTATTTAGAAGGGGAAAAAAAGATGCTTATAGAGGTTGCTGTTTAGACACATTAATGCATGTCCTTACTTGTTAATTCAAAGACAATTTGCTCAAGCAGTATCGATAGAAGGGGCTGCTGCTGGACAGAGTCAAGATGTGAGGCTGGATAGAAATGTTTATTTTGCTATGGTAAAACAGGTGTTGTGGGTGTACTGGCACAGGGTGAAGATTCACTACTGCAGCAATACTATTTCATTGTAACTCATGAAGAAAGAGATTAGTTACTGTGAAGCTGTACGCTAATAAAAAACTTCTTGCAGTGTTTTCATTTGTAGTTAGCACAGGCTACAGAAGATAGTAGGCTTTAATGTGTTTGTTTTACATGCTTGTAGGAGATGTGTAGAAAGCTCAGCTGCATGGCTGGAAGCAGAACCTGCGTCTGGCGAGCAGCAATTCTGGGGCCTACAATAGGACCATGCTTGAAAGATGTCCTGTCTTTTGTATGTGAGTTCATATTAAAATGGCAACTACCTCCTCCTCTCTGGAGCACCTGCTTTTCTGACTCCTGGAGAGCATGGCAGTAGCCAAATGTGTCTCAGCACAATTTCTAGCCGGTGCTCCTGCCCTTGCCTCTACAGGACAAGTCCCATCAGAGTCCTGCTCTGCTCATCTTTCCCCTTCGCTCCTGGTTTTGATTGTCACCTGGCTCTCAGTCAACGAAGATACTGGTCTGGCAGCTTAAATTTCCAGCCTGAGGAGGCTCTGATGAGCAGGTGGAGGGGCTGCTGGAGGCAGTGAAACTTCATGGGCTCAGGCTGGAAGAAGGCAGTGAGCCCATATTTAAAATTTTAGTCTCGTAGCTTGAAGCATGGAGACCAGTGAAGGTGCCTTGGCACTGCTGTGCTCCGCTCAGGTTGGACATGCGGGAGGCTCTTCTGTGGATCTGCATGCTGGAGGAGGTCGGGCTTCTTCGCAGTGGCTGTTGCTGGGTGGGCTCTGCTGTTCCTATGTGAACACAGTCTAGCTGGGCCTCTGGCTGTGCTTGATGGTCGATGGGATGTTGTCTCATTTGTAACTGCTTTGCTAAAGGGGGACCAAAGTAGAGTTAAAGAGCACTGTGGAACTTGCTTAGAGAGCCTTTTTTGTCTTCTCCCCGCTGACCTCTGCCAGCATCCTCCTGTGCAGCTCTGCCTCCTGCCCTGTATGCTTGAGGGGCAATTTTTATGCCTGAAACACTTCCAGGAGCTCTGTGCTGGAACAGCAAGGACAGCTGCAGAGCCAGGATGAAAAGAATATCGTAAATGTGAAAAAGGTGTGTGTAAAAGGGAGGAAGGTAGCGGAACAAGGGTTTTTAAAAAAAATAACTAGAAAAAGAGAGAGAGAGAGACTCTCCAGGATCCCTTTTGTTCAAATAGGAAAGAGAGGCTGGGCTTTATCTGCTTTTGAAATTAGAGAATTAAGAGGTGGCTCCAGGAGATAATAGTCTTTTATGGAGAACGGAGTCCTGTAAAAGAACAAAAGGGCACTAACTTTTAAGAAAAGGTCAAATTATGAAAGGGATAATACAACATTTCTTATGCAAGAAGCAGTTCAGATTGTGTAATTACAGCAATCCTTTTATCTGAAGATCTCACACAGGTGTTAATTAAGCCTAATGAGGCCCCTATGGACCGATTGTTACTATCTACATTTTTACCTGCAGAGGACCTAGAAGCTGGAAGAAATGAGGCTATTCGCCTGAGATCGAGTAAGGCAGCACTGTGGAATCCGTGCTCATGAGAGAGCACAGAGTGTGACTTAGAGCCACCTGGCACAGCCATGGGCAGAACCCTTTCCATGAAACTATGCTGTATGTCCCTATTGCTTTTTTTTTTTCCTCCTGAAAATGTAGGTATGTGTAGATGCATAAAAAGAATGTGTGGTCTGAGAAAAGTTAACCTTTCTAGCTGGGCTGTCTTAATTATGCCTGTGACTACTCCTGTTTGTTTTATTTTCTTTTTTTCTAACACTATGCTTAAGATTTGCAGGTTCCTGTGATATTCAGTGTTTTGAGAGCCTTATGGGAACCTGCAGTAAGGAAAATATACCTATGTTGGTGAGGTTTTGTATGTTAATTCCTTTGATGTGTTCACCTCAGTCTTTACAATGCAGAGCAGACGGATAGATTGTTTTGTGAGCTCCCTACAGGGAAATCGAACAACTCTTAATTGTTGTTTTTCTTTCTATAATACTCTTGAGCTGTTGATAATTCCACAAGAAAGTCTGTAAAAGTACTGGTGGATGAATAAGAATGGAGAAACAGAATTTTGAGATACTCTTACAATGCTTTTTTTTTTTTGTAGGATGTTGGACTTTTGAGCGAGCCTTCTAAGCTTTGTATCTGTTTCTGACCATACCCCACATAGTGTGGGTGGTTGCCTGCCTTGTATTTAGTTGTTTTATTCTTTTTTCCTGGCAGTGGAATTTGGGCAGCTCCAAGACTAAGCTTGCCTACTTTTGCTGTGTCTGGAAGGCTCCATAACGGGTTGAACATGGTGGGTATGTTGACTCTACTGCTACCGTGATGCGTTGGTATAGATCTGTTTCAGAGAGGTGGTGCCCCTGAGTTGCCAGCTCTGTTTGCACCCTATTGTCCTACCTTACAGACTGGATCAGTTATAAGTGACTGTGTTGTGGTGGAGAGCTCAGTCTTTGAAGGCTTTGTTCCTCACATGCAGAACACACAGCCACTGTTTCAAGGGCAATGTGTTATATCTGCTCATCTTCCGTAACAGAGACTTGCAGGCCATGAAAGGGGAAATAGCTTAGCAAACTAAAGTAGTTTTTAGAATAAGAGCCTGCTGGGCTGGTTGTTTTTTGAGTTTTTAGATGTGTCTAAATGAACAGCAGTCTGTGAAAGTATATCACTTCCAGTACGGAGTCATTATCTGAGATGAATACCTGGGACCTTTGTTTGCTGGTAGGCAGCTGGTCTGTGCCACTTGTGAAAACATAACCACTCAGCAACAGAATGGGTAAGAATCTGTTTTGGAACACGTAAGAAGTATTTAAAGGTGAAGACTGCGTGGGGCAGTTTGTCTCGCTTGGGTTTCTGTGCCAGCTAAGGGGAAGCTCTTCGCATTTTCACGCAGTAGAACAATTCACAGAAGT